CGTCCAGAGAATGTCATCATGAACACTCCGATCAAGATACACCCGAAACGGTAATACAACATGACTCCCTCTATGGAGGATATACATGGCAGCCCCCGGCATCTCCTCACTATAATGCAGATCAAAATCAAAACCATGAATGCGGTGGAAGTGAGAAATGATCCATCCCTGGAAAACGAATAAGATATATGTGAGAACAAATTATTAATAACAAATTATTAATAACAAATTAAATTTAATAGTTGGAATAAAATGTACCATGTGCAGTGTTCAAGAGCCTGTTAGTTGTGTCAACCTCCATTTAGAAGCTTCATTCAGATTTTGGTATATGCATACCAAACAACCAGGCCCCCAGTTCCACTCCTTAACCGTACCCAAATCCATGAAGTACTGCAGATATGTCACATCCACATAGGTTACACTTTTGTCCATAAAAATGGACGTGCCAACCAAGAATATGAAGTAACATCGCAAAGAACACTCACGATGGTACTGAACAAAGAATTCATTGTCCTCTTCCTCGGAAGATGCTGCTACAACTAGGTTCTCAGTATATAGGTCTTTCAAGAATGAGAACTTGGCATAAGCCCCATTAGTTGATGAACATTGTTCCTCTCCCTTTTGCGATTGAGCTCCCAGATACTCGAGTGTGACCGCCGTCAAGTGTGGTTGTCATCTCCCCAACAGGAAAATAGAAAGATGGTCGTATCCTTGAGTCATCTCTCGTAAAATGCCTCTTGCATGTCGTGGCTAATAGTAAAGTAACCAAAATAACAAAGTCCGGCAAGTCCAGAGATAAGAATGGCCTCCTTGAATAAATCCTCTCTATGATGATGTAGATAAAATATTTTCCGCGCGTGGTTCACGGACTTTATAGGAAGTTGTTCCTGTAAAAATAAATATTATTCTCAATGTTAGTCGTTAACACATTTGTGCCTAAATCATTTAAATGAAAAAGTATAATAAAAAATATATCTCTCCATCCCAAACAAGTCGAACAGCATGATCATTATAATAGATAAAGAGGGAGGTTTCAGAGGACCCTACTAGATACCCCTGGTTTTCCTTCCCCATTGCAACGCGTAAAAGTGCAGCTGGTGTATCATGGGAAGCCTCCTTGGATTCTTGTGCCCGAACATCAACCTCCTCGAGTTCCTGTTCATTATCCCGAGACGAGGACACATGAGACAGGTGACTCCTCAGAGTAGAAGTTGATGCTCCACCACTTCCTCCCGTCTTCAACCCCTAGTAGCCTGCTCAGCTCTCTCACACCGAGCGGAAGCATTCTGGCTTGGCCTGCCAAGTCTCAATATGTGGTTTGGATTCTCAACCATTTTCCTGAAGAAAAAATCATTACTCAAAGGGAAAGAACAAGTGTGAAAATTTTATAAAAAAAACAACTCGGGCTTAATTTCATATGTGCTTATTCGAAAATACTCAATGGGGTTTTCAGATATGTACATCCGAAATAACATGTGACTGCCATTTTTAAACAGTTGGGGTTTATTACCGTAAATCACCCAAAACCTTCCCTTTCACACCCAAACAACCATATTTTACAATTTATACTTCAACCGACTAAATTTATTACATAATTCTCAATAACATATTTTACATTTGCAAAGTAGAACAATGGATTCGGAGAAACATACTCGAATTTGGAGCTTTGAAGTGTTATTGAAATGAGTTGAAAATGTGTTTTGCTTCTTCAAAATGTACTTTGGTCTTGAATTGAGTTGAAAGTGTTTCTCAAAGATTTCAAAAGAGAGAGAGTTGGAATAGAGAGAGTTGGAATAGAGAAAGTTGAAATATATAGAGATTGCAAAATGTGCTTTTCTGTTTCAAAATTTTGTATATATTTAACACGATTCGGATATGCATATTTGCACTCCCTGTACTTAAATTATGGGGTTGATTCGGGTATACATATCCGAAAATCCCCTGATTTTCACTAAAAGATTATTCAGACATGTATATCTGAATCAACCCCTATAAATATGTAATGTGGTGAGTTCGAATATGCATATCCGAATTTAAGAAATATTATGAGAATTTCACCAAGAACCTCTAAAAAGGTATAAGGATGTACTAAGAAATTCTTATCACTACAAAAAAAACCTCTCACTTGCGACGTGAAATTCACGTCACAACGTGAAAAATCATGTTACAACTATTAATTTGTGACATGAACAATCATGTGGCTGGAGAGAGGGTGACAGATTTGTTGCAACGTGATTTTCATGTCACAAAGTTGTGATGTGAAAATCACGTCGCAACTTGTTTGCACAAAAATCCTAACATTACAGTGGGAGCAGGCGTAACACGTAACAGGTGCAGGAGTCAGAGCAACACTTTATTTGCCACGTGATTTTCACGTCACTAATTGTGACGTGAAAATCATGCCATTAGTTAATTACATTTAACAATAAAACGTTCTATTTAGCTTTTGTTTTTTTTATTAAAAAAATTAAGTTGCGGCGTGATTTACATGTCACAACTTTGTGACATGGAAATCACGTCACTAATGTTTTATTTTTAAATTTAATTGTTGAAATTTGTTTTTCTTTTATAATTAATTTAATTAATTAATTTATTCAACATATAAATAAGTAAATTAAAAAAATTTAATATAATAAAATTAATAAACTAAAATTATAAATTTAAGATTTATTAATTTAATATACTAAATAGGTTTAACTAATTAGTATGTTACACAAATTCAAATTTGAAAGTAAAATATAAAAAATTAATTTTACGGGTCATGTTGGTTGATATAGCTGTCAATGTCAAAATTATCTTCGTTTCCATCATCCTCCGGATCTTGACCACGAACGTTTTGATTTCCACCAAACTCTTGCATAAATTGTCTAATTTACTGCTCCATATCAACTTGCCTCTTCGCCATGACCTCCATTTACCGTTGTTGTTCTTGCCTCATTGCCTCTATTTAGACCTTCATTACCGCCTCACATTGCACCGGCTCATATATATATATATATATATATATATATATATATATATATATATATATATATATATATATATATATATATATATATATATATATATATATATATATATATATATATATATATATATATATATATATATATATATATATATATATATATATATATATATATATATATATATATATATATATATATATATATATATATAAAATTCTGTTTTTAAAAACATCACAATATAAATATAAAAAATCTAATTTCAATGAAAGATCTATTTATTCTATTTTTATTAAATAAATTTATTGTGTTTTCAATGACATAAAATATTTTGTATTTGTTCTATTTTTTATAAAAATAAAAATTTATTTTCTGTTCTATATATATATATATATATATATATATATATATATTCATTTTTTATTATTTTTTATATTTTTTATATTTTGTTTTAACATCTCTCTTTTATAATAAATAAAAAATAAATTTTTTAAATATACATAATTTTTTTAAGTAAAAAAATAAAAGAATATTTTTTATTTTTCATTTACAAAAATTATATATTAATCTAATAACAACTTTTAAAAAAAAATTTAACCTAAAATATCAACCAACAATCCAGAAAATATATCAAATTTATAAATAAAAAATTACAAAAATACCTCTTCTTCAATGTATTTTAATCTTCTTGTTCAATCTTTTTCAAATCCTCTTCAATATTCTTCTATTCAATATCTTGGAAAAAAATTAACATAAATTAAAATCCCAATACAGTATAAACATTAAACAATTGTAAAAAAATTGAAGCAAAATTATAGAAGAGTATTACTTTTATAAATTGGAAGCGGAATAGAAATTGAGATATGGGTATATAAAGATGGTGAGAAACAGAGAGAAGAAGAAGATATAGAGAGATGGTGAGTAATGAGGTTTCTGTTTGAGAAACGAAAAGAAATTATATATAGTCAATCAGCGATGTGAAAATCACATTGTAATCTTGCCACGTGATTTCCTCGCAAACTTCACAACAGTCAATAATTTATTCGCACTGCCTGCAGTCACGTGTACCAAGTAAAATCAAAGCCACTTTTTTCTCACTAAAATATTGCGGCGTGATTACCACCTCGCAAACAACCAACGGTAATAAATTAATGCTCAATCAGTGACGTGAATATCACGTCGCAACCTTGCCACATGATATTTACGTTGCAACCAACCAATGGTACAAAGACAGAAAAGTCTTATGCGCCCCATCAATTCTCTGTCAGTCTACTATGTCACTTTATTTTTCAAATTTTCTCACTTAACCTTTGCGACGTGATATACACGTCACAAATTAAAATTTGAGATATTTTACTTTCCCCCATTTGAAAGTTTAAGTTTTTCATATTTTTTTGAAAATTATTAACTTGCGACGTGATTAACACGTCGCCGCAACGATATTTTTTTAAAATTAAATCTGATTCTCCATGTAAACGTTACAAGCTGAATATTTTATTATTATAAAAAAATTAATGATGTGATAATCACGTCGCAATTCTTTTTTTTTTTACCAAATAATTATCACTTCATAATATCACTTTGTTGGAGAATTTTTTTTTTTTTTTAGTATATAGATCAATTATGAATAACCCAAAAAATTAGTATTAAGCTAGCAAAACCCAATAATGATGTAGGGAAGGCCCTTAAGGCTATTTTAAATTAATAATATGAGATCTATTGGTCTAAAAAAACGTAATATATTATTTGATGTATTTTATAAATTTATGTCTAAAATATTTAATTTAAAATAATGTATGATTCTCGGATTAAATATCATCACATTTTTAGAAATTTAACAAAATAGTTTCAAATTTCATTAAAAAAAACTACTTTCAAATCTAAAAAATTTAAAAATATATAAAAAAAAAATCAAATCATATTTAATATTAGGTCTTGTTCTCTCTCTATAAATACACCTCTTCACATAACCACTTCTACTAAGAAAAAAATACTAAGAAATACTCCAACAAAACATCGTTAGTTTCACACTTCATGGCTGGTCTTCAACAATACAACTTTTTCCCCACTGATCTCTTTTACCCTCGTCCACAACCTCATCAATCTACTACTGCTTCTCCCACAGTCCTTCCCCTCCAGACACCAAATACTGAAGATAATCGTCAGAATCAACAACAACAACAACGACAACCATCTAGTACCATGATGAAACCCACCCCTTCGACTTCTTCTTTGGTTTATACCCACAAGACACAATCTTTTGATGTTGTTGACAATAACAAATCTAAATTGTCACCAAACCCACTTTCTTTTATGGTTTGGATTGATGAGGAAGGTGAAGAATAAACCTAAGAAAACACTTTTTTGAATGAGACAAGACAACCTTTCTTATGTTTTAGGGTATCTAAATTATTTAAGGGGTTATTCTCTTTTTTCAAGTTTTTTTTTTGTTGCCCTTTTTCAATTTTTCATGTTACTCACAGAATATGGAAATTACTGATAAAGTTGAAAGCTTGTGATTTTTTTTATTTCTTTGCCTTCTTTGATGATTTTAGTCCAATCTGTAATTCCTAGATATTTTTACTAATTAAGAAAACGGGTCAAAAAATTTTGAATTGTAAAGTTAGTTTAATTTGTACATTATGGAAGGTATTGAATTATAGTATAATCAATAAAACCGATCACACCATTCTAACGACACTTTATTAATAAATTATTACAACTTCACCAAAAACTTTATTATTATTTTAAAATTAGAGATGTAAAATGAATTCGATCTTGGACATGTCTGTTTTTCCTGTATTTTAGTGTGGATTCTTCACCCTCTAATGTGTCTGTCTCGTCCTATTTTCTACGCGTTGTGGGACGGGTCTAAATCGGGCGGACAATGCTCGTCTGTCCCCCTATTTAAAACTCCACAAATCAATCCATCAATAGTAAAAAAATAATTTGAGTTTGTCTGCACGGTATCGAATAGATCCCTCGCGCATCATCAGTGCAACCTCCTCTACGCCTAATTGTGTAACACCATAAACCTCAACTCTTAATTTTAAAGAGAATAATTCACACTTTAAGATGTTACTCAAACAACATGCATACTTTCTTCAATTAAAAGTATCTACTTGGAGTGGAATTCAGATACCTAACATAAATTTCAAATATCTCATCAATTTGAAATGCTTAATTGAAATAACGTAATCTAATGATTAACTAAAAAAAACAAATAAATGTCCCGTTCTCGATGTTATAATCAGAGCATTAAATCAACTAAAAACGATAAACTTAAACAATAAACGAAGAAAGCTTCATAACATTCCTCCAACTCGCAATTGCACTTACTCCTCCTGAGTAATTGTACAACAATGTACATAGCGACACAAAACAAACAAGAAAGGAGTGTGAATACACTTTAATATATTAACAGTATAAGAGAATGCAAAGGTAGCTTAAATCACACAATAAATGTTGCACATTCAATTTAGACAACAACACCACAATCAACTTCACGTAGCCTTTATTAATGCAATGTGACGTACAACACAACTCTATGACTTATTTTTGTCCTCACATTTGTATTCCTCTAGAAGTGCATCGAAGTCTGCGATGTTGACATCTAGGGGATCTGTTTGCACAAACTGGCTTCTTCTACCTTCTCCATTTGTTAGATGACAACAACATCAATGTTTCTCTTGAGGGTTTTATGGAAGCGACATATCGAATATGGCTAAATAGTCACAGGTTCATTATTAACGTTGTGGTAGTTCATCTTCAAGTACATGATGAAAGCAATGATATCAAGGGTTGATGCAAAAAGTATTCACATGATGCAATTGTAAACACTTTTACAAGTAACCACCATGAATTGAATATCCATCGTCCTAGCATATCTCCCTTCTCCAAAGGTCACCATAAGCTCTATTAAACTCTAAGGTCGGATCACTGGAGCACTAAAAGCTTGCAGATCACTGCCCATGTAGGATGATAACTTTTCCTTCTTCAATTCTAACTTCTCAAAAGGTTCGACATAGATAATGTTGCATGAACTTCCTCTGCGAACGAGGATTCTTGAAACATCAAAATTGGTTATATTAGTCGTGGTGACCAAGGGAAAGATCTAATTAGGAATGCATCTTACTTTCTCAATATCATTCAACCCCAAAATATATTGCTCAACTTTTTTTGTCTTTCGACATCAACTCTATAATTTATTGTTTCATTATTCCTATAGATGGTACATGTGGTCGTGGAACCATCATGAGTTGGATGCAATGAAATTATAACACCCAGTGATGAATGCTATGAATAGATCGTTTCCCATATTATCCTTTTCTTTTCACTTTTCTATTTTCCTTTACCGGGGACCTCAACGGCCTCGATTGTTTTCCAATGGGGGTAACATCTCGGCGAATGAAGCATTTTCTTTATGGGCATTCACACAGTTTTTGTTGTCTCCAAGGAAAATCTTTATGTCTTTTGAAGTCTCTTATGTGTGCCTTCCTTAGCGTATCTATCAAGTATTCCCTTTTTAAATCATTTTTTCTATCACATCTTTCAAGTGGATGAACTCGTCAGTATCATGCATGTGGCTCTTGTAGAACCTGTAAATTTTGGATTTGTCATTCCATGTTGACTCTTTCCCAAAGAGGAGAGACTTGACCCGATTTCCTTAAATTCGATATTTGTGCATTTTTGGAGAATGATTTCTTTAGAGGTGTTCAATGGGGTGTACTCAGAGAACACGGACCATAATTCTTTGTGCCTTTATCTATATTTTGTCTTAACAATGCTTGTTATCTCCTTGCCTTCCACTCCTAACATTTCATGAGATCTTGTTTCTTTCTATGTTTTCAACCAATAGTTTCTCTTTGTAGTTAATGTATTGTAGGAGTTGAGGGAGGATGTCAGTCATGCTTTCCATGCCTTTTAAACATAGATTTTCGTAGATCATGCAATCCTTCTTCTACACTTTCTTGAAGATCCATCACTTTAGACTATCATTGGCTCGTCTTACTTCAACAATTATCATAGTAATCCTGTCAATGTATTCTCAATGCGTCTCCTTTCTCTTCTGATAGATGCAGCACTACTATAAAATGTGCATTCAACAACGCAGTGTTCACCACGGTTCTTATCTACACTGTAATGACATCTCTAAAATGAGGCGCTGACATATGTATTTTGTTTATTAATTAAAAATTATTTGTATATAACAGCGGTTGATGTACCAACCGTGGTGATATAATCAAAATTTCATGGGTTCGAACCTCAACGCCATAAAATATTTTATTCCTTTAACGTTAAGGCATACCTTTTCTTTTTATTTACTTTAAAACTCACAAATAAAAGGGATATCGCTACGGTTGGTAGTGTTAAACACTGTGAATTTTTTTACCCATATATAAACGAATTAACTCTCACTTATAGATAGTGGCGTCGTTTCATTCAAAAGGAAACCCTATCACCCATTTTTTCCCTTCTTCTTCGCCATTAGCCATGAATCTTGTGCTTCATACATTAATATATTCTTCTTCTTCCATCTTCTTGTTAGATAGTTCCCCATTATCTTGTTTGTTGCATGTTATTTTTGTTGATTGTACTCCTTTTTCATATCCGTCTTCATTACCTTATCAAAGGAAACTTCATCCTCCTTGTACTTTGTTAAAGTTCCACGACTTCATGTATATCCATTGGTGATGTAAGTTATGATTTGCATACTTTGTTAAAAATAAGTTTGATGTTACATATGTTGATAACTTTCATGGTTATTGTAGGTATCAACAAGAACAAAACATTTTAGTAAATGAAAAAATAACGGCGGCAACAAACTTCATCTAGTTTGAGAACCTATGAGAAGAAATATAATAATTATGAAGTTGTTGTTTAAACTTTTTACTCCTTATATTTCTTTTTAATAGCTTCATAAACTAGATGAATTTCCATTATTAGTTTCAATAAAAGGTACATTCAGAATGATATAGTATGATGTTGTTTTGTTGATAAATGCTTTTGTATGTTGTTATTGTAGTTGAGTTTATTATATTCTATCTAGATTGTTTGTTTCAATAACCTTCACTTAAATTAAATTCATTTACATTGACATAGATACTTATAATCTGAAAATTAAGTTGTATTTGAAAATCGATTTATATAAATCAATATTTTCTAAATTGCATTTGTTTCATCATTCATCGTAAGCTCTTTAACATATAGAATATGGTATAATGATCTAACTCATCCATTACATTGATATCTTCTCATATATTTTAATTTCAATAACCACAATTTATAGGTTAAGTCTACCTCATCATCATCATTAATCATCGTAATTATTATGATGATAAGTCATCAAAATAATCACGATGATAAGTAACGATGATGAGGTAGACTTAGTCAATAAATTGTTTTTATTGAAATTAAACTAGATGAAAAGATATAGATGCCATGAAGGAGCCACACCATTATATCATATTCTATATGTTAAAGAGCTAGAAATGAATGATGAGACACATGTAATTCAGAAAATGTGGTTTGTTTAAGTTTAGTTTCAAGAATAGTTTAATTTCCAAATTATATACATCTCCATTAATTTGAATGCACGTATTTCTTTAGTGAGGTGTATCGAAAAATAAGCAATCTACATATTATATAATAAATTATGGTGACTTTCAACAACGATTACTTACCGTAACCATAATCAAATGTAATTTATATGTCTATATCACAACAGTTGTTGCTGATAACCATTGTGATTAGTAGCACGCGTCCTGCCTTTCTATGACGGTTTCCAGACCGTGGTGGAAATGACTACTTATAACCACACGCTACTTAACAACGGTATAACCTACGTGATGGTATCCTTATTTCAACCGTTGTGAATTGGGTTTTCCATAGTAGTGTCGTAAGAACAAATATTATCTTTGGATGACATCTTTGTGTTATGAATTATGATATGAGTTCATCATGCAAATTTCTCGAAGAATGGATGGAATTGTCCTCCAAGGTCTTGATCCATGTCATAACGACTCCTTTGAGGGCCAGTAAAAATAATTTGCATTTCACCGCACTCTTGGCCCGATGATAATCAAGTATAATGTCCACATTTTCGATGTGCTCGACATGGTCCCTATTCCTGTCACAACTCTCTAGATTTAGCATTTTTCTAGTGACTTAGGGATCATGTAGTCAATAATATTCTTGGTGACCGAATAATATGCTTGCATCGTACTCGTTTCCCCTTTGAAAATGGTGTGAGGGACACTTCTCTACATAGTGGTTCTGGAGTGGAATATGGTTGCTATCATCACATCCACAATCATGAAGATGAGAATTGCAGTCATGGTGACGAC